AGGATATGATTTTCTATAAATATTTAGGAGGTATCCCATATCATGGCCATATCCCCTCATTACAGGATTCACTACTAACTGATTTCACACTTGACCCACGACGGGCGCAGGAGCTACAACATAATTAGATGGCAATGGTTGGTTCAGATTTTGATGAGGCCATTGGTGGAATGGCTGTTGTGGTAACTGTGGCTGTTGTTGAGGTGGTGGCTGCATTAGTTGTGGTACGTTGTGAGTAATCATATGTGGGTTGACTGGTGGGTTTAACTGTGCTGGCAATGGTTGCTAGATTTGAACATTTAGACCCATAGGGAGTGGAAAATGCTGATTTACGTTAGACACTACAGGTTGAGATGCCTGATGTTGTGGTTAAATGTTTATCCGTTGGATGTGTTCTTGCCCCCTAGGCACGGGTGTTGCAAGATTTCAAACATCTAGGACTACAGGTAGAGGATTTACCTGGATCACAGGGGGGGCCTTGCACCTGAGTAACTTGATGTCCTCTTTGAAGGTTTTCATCGATCATCGACTGTCGAGCAATTCCTCCATTTGGGTCCATGCTAGCGTGAGGTAATCCCTCGCTGGGTGCTATCGGCAAGGTTTCTCCCTTGGTAATATTCGAATGGGTGGGATCGCAGGCGTACTTTGCATCATGGTTCCAAACTGTATTGCAGGACCCCCCAATGCTGATGGAGACCTTGTTCTCAGTTGGGTCGGTGTGATGGACCCTCCATGTTGACTTTACGTGCATTCATGATAAGTGTTAATGATCAAAGGCCTAACCACTTCAGTCATACACCTTACCACATAATCAGCGAACTCGCTCTGAGTTTTTTCAATAGTCCGCCTCATGGTAGAAAGTGCAACTAGTGTGAGTTCAGTTTGCCTTCTATCTTCAATACGCTGCCTCGACATATCTGTGACCTCCTCTCGAGATTGGTTAGCAACCTCGGTATGAAGAAGTTGAGTGGATGATGTCTCCGCACGGGTATTGTTCTACCATCAATGCAGCTTGCTTGTCAGTCGTATTATCCGAGTTGGTTCTACTCCGGATGCGTGGCATAGCACTCTCTCTACTTAAGTCAATAAGAGTCCTACTGGGCGTGCCAAAAAGATGTTTCGCCGGTTTTATCCCGTCGAAAATCTTTCACCGAACGTTGCGTTTCGGATTTTATTAGAGGAGACTTGGGTTTTGAATCAAGCTTGGACAGAGAATGTCAAATGCATTTATTAAGCCCGACTTATATCTTAGAACTTGGCTTGATAATACACCAGACTCGACAATACTAATAATGGGATGACAACTTGCAAATACCGAGATCAAGCTATGTCGAAATCTAATCAACGACACAACTAATATGCGACATTACCATTCAAAGTATGCAAGAATTTAATCAATGACGTAACTTGAGAGAATATGGCTGGAATCTAATCAACAGCTATACTCCAAGCACAACGCCGGAATTTAATCGACGACGCTGAACTTGTGGCACAACATTGGAATTTAATCAACAATGCTGAACCTGATAAAGACCATCGTCGGAATTGAATCTACGACGCAGAATCTAAAGGTTGCAACTAAAACTACTACTAATGCGCTAAGAATAAAGGCGAGATAAAAGATGTGTTGTGTTGTTTTTCGAAGAGTCTTCTCTTTATGTTGGAAATCCTTGAGTATTTATAGAGCAGTTTGACAATTGTTGACCGAATACTTCTCCTTGAAAGTCGTTTTCCACTTCCTTACGTTTCACGCTTTAACCGCTTCCTGACTTATCGATGTTGCTTATGCTCCTTGGGCATCACGTGATAGCTGATTCTCTTCCATGTGTCTCTTTCTTTCTTGCTATTTTCTAAGTGTCATCCTTTAACTTCCTTGATCTTCACACCCACGGTCATATCTTTACCTTTTGACACGTGTAAATGAATTTGTTTTGCCACGTGTCACCATGATTTCAGACCACGTGCAAAACTTGTGATTTTGGACTTGTCGACGTCACGTGCAAAGCTCGTGATCTCGGATTCGTCGATGTCACATGCAAAACTCGTGATCTTGAATTTGTCGACGTCACGTGAAAAGCTCGTGATCTTGAACTTGTCGATGTCACGTGCAAAGCTTGTGATTTTGGACTTGTCGACACTTCTATGACGTGTCCTGTTGATAATTACCTCAAGTCTTCTCAATGCCTTTGGGCCTGACTCACGGCCTTTTTCGCATTTATGCCATGTGGACCGTACTTTATATCCTTTGTGACTTGTAACCAGCCCGCTCCCGCCAGGGGTAATTTTGAGTGTCAACAGCTATATAATCTACTCACCATTTTTGCTGATGCATTGAATGGAACAATAAAGGAAGGAATTGAAGCATGTCACCTGATGGAAGAGTGCGAAGGGATATCTCCAAATAAAGGATGTAAGGTGATGAGATTTCTCATTCGATTTTTATACAAATTCAATCAAAATAATTGGGGAAAATCAACATGATAAAGATATTAGCTGCGTGATCCATTTTTTTCCTGAATTTCGTGAAACTCTTCACCAACAGCAACAGGTGAAAATCGAATAGGGAAACAAGACTTTAATTGAAATCAACTTAGAAAAAAACTAAACACGAACACCGAAATTTATGGATGCCAAGTAGAAGTTATGTACTTCATTTATTTGAAATTACTGTCTCTTTAAGATTTTACTAACTACATGAAAAATAATTACCAACAGCAACAGATTTTCCCAAGAAAATCCTTGAGGTCTAACAAATCGGACGCCCTTGAAAGTCAAAGCTTAAAAATGTCGTCTTGCATGTGGTGAACTAAAGAAACTATCTTTAAAAGAAGAGGATTATTATTTTAATGCGGTCAATTAAAATTCCTAATTACATTATAAGGATTAAAACTATCTTTTAAGTCCTTATATATCGATATATGGCCGAGGATTCCCGTAGTAGACCTTCTGTAATTACTCTGCAGAATGAGTGCCTGGTTGGCCTCGATTGCCCACCTCGCCTCCCTGCCGAGACGATAATGCGCTTCAGGTTGGGAAGCCACCCGTAGTTTTCTTGGCTCTTTCGTCATGTTCTAGCACGTTGCGCGCCTTACTGGCGAGGATCTCCACGTTTGTCTCCCATTTTTGGACGACGGCTTCGATCAGCCTCATGTTGTTTCGAGTTTCATCCACGGAATGCTGAACCCTTTGTCTCGCGTTATCCAGCTTCACAGCTTCCTCCTTAAGGTTGCGAACATAGCCATCAGAGAATATCTTGTCGTCGCATACACAACCAATAGAGGCCATTCTCCCCCCTTTTCGACTTGGACTGCGCTAGGAGAATAGCACCGTCACTTCCTACAAGTAGAAGTAACGGTGCAATTTAGGCCATTCATTTTGTTTTGTGCATAATGGGCAACCGGACCACAAATTTGCCGTAGAAGACCATCTTTGTTGCATAGGTGTATCATTTAAAGAAACAAATCTACTAATGTTCAAGAGAAAGAAATTCATGGGTTATTGACTACCAAGTATCTGGCCGGAGATGCGGTTCCTGACGAGTACGAGGATCTTGAGGCAGTGGAGGCTGGTGAGGGAGGTGGGGAAGCCGCCGGAGAAGGCATTGCCGTTTAGGTAGAGGGACTTGAGGTTGATGAGGACGGAGAGGTTGGGGACTAGACACGGCCACGGTTCAGAACCGGCGGTTCCGGGCCGGTTCCGGTTCCGACCCAATTCGGAACTGGCCGGTAAAAATTTTAAAAATAAATTATGAAATAAAAAAAATAACGAATTATAAAATTATGAAATAATGAATTATTCAATATAAAATGTAATCAAAATGTACATTGTAATCAAATTTGGAAAAAAAGGGAGAAAGAGATGGGGCTTGAACTTAATGAATTATCATTAAGCGCCTTACATATCTTCTTCGGGATAGAAGAATCAAAATCCTGCTGCAAAATTTTTTTTTTTTTGGAATCGGGCCCGGAATCGGCGGTTCCGAGCCAGTTCCAAAATTGTTGGAACCGGAACCGGGCCCGTAGGCCACGGGCCGGTTCCAGTTTCGAACCGCGGGCCCGGTCAACGGGCCAGTCCCGGGTTTGACCCGGGCCGGTTTCAGCCCGAAACCGGCCCGTGGCCATGTCTATCGGGGACATTGCCAGAGATGGAGTTGTCCTTAAGGCTGAGGACGCAAGGCTGGTTGAGCCGGTTCAAGGTCTACCAATCCAACGTGTTGGTCAAGTTCAAGGACTCACGGACGAGCTTGGGGACAAGGCCGTTCACGAAGAGAGCCTTCATTTTGTTGTGGAGAGAGAGAGAGAGGAACGGCCAATTTGGGTCATTTTCAGAGAAGCTAAATTTGTGCATCTTCTTCTCTTTGCAGCAGCACTTGCTCACTTTGCCCACCACTCAATCACAGTGGCAGATGGGGAAATTGGGAAAAAAATATAAATCCTAGATGTTGCAGTTACAGAGACGGCATTTAAGGGTCAGAGAGAGGGGAGAGAGCAAAGAGAGAGAGCTCGAACATCCAATAATACCTAGCAAAAAAATAAAAAGAAAAGAGAAGGAATAAAAAGCGATGAAAAAAAGGATTCTTTGGTTCCTTGGTAAAAATGTGAGACGGTGCCGTCTGCTTCTCATTTCCCTTTTGTCTTCTATCTTTAAAGTCTTCTTTCCTTTCAAGAAACCTGTTTTGATCTTTCTTATGAGACAAAATTATTAAAAGTGAAGTTTAGTTAGGAAACTCGTTTAAATCTATTTTGTGAAATTCTTGAAAGAGCCTAAAAATCTAGTATATAAAACAGTAAGATTGACTTTTGCAAGTTAAATGCATTCATATTTAATAAAATGAATCTTTTCTTTTCCAAATAAAATTTGAAGAGCTTTGTCAACAGAAAAGTCAAAGTATAGCAGGAAAATCTCTTGGTAATATATTATAATAAAAGTGCTTTTTGCCTGCTAAATGCATTCACTATTAATGAGTTTAGCGCAAGATTTCTTGCTAATAGCAAGTAAAATTCACTTTATGAGCGAGAAAATTTCAAGAGTAACTGTCCTATAATGCTAATTATAAACATAACATCTCAATATATCTAACTCTTAAGTAGTAAGTAGTTAACGAGAAATAGAAATACTAGGAAAACGCCCGTCATCAAACACATATTTCCACATTTCTGCGTCCTTCAAAATCCTGTGGGTTTTGTAGCTTTCCCAGTCACCAAAGACATGGTCCGACGTTGTTCCACAGCTTACTAGACTGCAGACTTCCAGGGATGGGAATTCCTCGGAGTATTTCTCAGCTAAGATGTTCCTGAATTTCGGCAACTCGAAAAGTCTAAGAGCAGTTAACTTAGAGAAGGTGATTGTCGTACCGGTCGCTTCTTCACATTCTTCATGGCCAGCAATTAGTTTTAGATCTTCACATGACTCCACTACCAGCTCTTTGATTTGTCCGAGAAATTTCGCGGTGAAGGTTGTGAAAAGCATTTCCAAACGGGAGCACATCACAGCCTCTACGTATCTCAAGTTTGGGAACGGGACGATTGGGAGACCATCGGACTGCCAAATGTGCCTCAAGTTTTCCAGATCATGCAAAACCAGCTTCCTCAATTGACCATTCTCAGTATTTGTCCCATCACTTTCGTATATGGTCTCAATCAAACGGCATGATCTCACTTCTAGGAGGTCAAGACAGAGCTGCAGTCTCTTCCACATGTGGGATGGGGCAATACATTGGAGATTGTCACAGTGCACCAATCGAAGAAATTCCAATTTGCAAAAGGAATCATCGGGAATTTGATTGTTCCATAGCTCTTTGCACTGAGCGCCTTCAATTTTTAGATTTCTTATATTGGGGAATATAACCTGCACGAGGATAATGTGAGAAAGGAGGATAGGTAGGACAAATTATTAGATTGTTCGTTCTAAAACATGAAATGCAAGAATACAGATGATCATAGTAAGGGATAGAGCAAACCATCTCATTGAATAACGGTTGTGGGGATTCATCATCCCCTTTGGCTATCTCCTTGGGAACCACTTCCTTCATCTGTTCGCAATTGCTAATCAATAGGTTCTCGAGTTTCTCTAGAGTTGTGGCCGTAAAATTGGGGAAGAGATATCTTAGGTCGGAGCAACTGTAAACATGAACTATTTTTAGATTAGGAAAACCCAAAACCGTTTGGCATTCGCTCGTCACCATGCAACTCAGCTTTCCTGCTTCCTTCACCGTCAATTCTTCCAATTCGGAGAGCAATAAAGTTGTTTGCTCGGTATTTGCATCAGGGGACCCACAATCAAACAATGATTCCAGGGAGGGACAGCTTTCAATCTTGACAATTGTCAGGTTGTGCAATCTCCCTATGATTGTGGAAGGGAAGACGTTTAGTAGCTTAGAGCAATATCCAACGGAGAGGGTGGCTAATTTGCAGAAGGAACTTCTCATAAGTTCACTGTGCCATATCCCTTTGAAGGATCCTACTGACTTAAGCTCTAATTTCTCCAAGCTTGGTAAACTAACCTGCTCATAAGAGTTATGCGTCAGATCGTAGCTATGAAAAATCTGAGAAATTGGTCTAATCCTAACGATCTATCTGATGCGGTGGAAGAATGAATTTTTCACTAGTGGCCTCACTCTGACAAATATATTATAAATTATGAATGCATTTTAACTAATAAAACCAAATAAAGATTTTCAAAGAGATTTTATTACTTGCCTCGCAAAGCGTGTGTCTATGGCTATTATGGGTATAATGTCAAGAGAAGGGATTTGTACCTTTGGATCAAAGAAGAAATCGGAATAAGCATCTTGTGAATCTGAAGTAGTGGTTACTGACTCTTTCTTTCTATGAGGATATGAGAAGAATTTCTCCATGGGACAGCGCACTATAGATAGTCGCTTTAGTAGTGGGAACTCTATAATATCATTTGTCCCTTCATCCCTTCTTTCTTCATCCACAATCACCGCCTTCATATTTGGACAATCCACCACTTCAATGTCTCTAATCTCTCTAAGGCATTTAGCCACAGACACCGGAAAGAGAAATGCCAGCCCCGTATCCCCGACAAAGAGTTCCTTCAGGTTTCGAAATCTCGGAATTCCTTGTAATTGTGCATCTTGTTTCCATTTGCGTTGCAGGTTCAGTAACCGCCTTAATTTCAATTTCGTTAGCTGAGAGAGAATCTCGACATCTCCGGTGACTTTTAGCTCCGCAAGGTCGAAAACTACTTCCGCTGATCGACAAAACAGAATATCTAGCGACTCCAAATTCGGCAGCTTCAGTATCCAATCTAATTTCAGAATACTCTTCGACGTGGATTTAGACTCTTCGATCTGTAGCGATTTCAGATTGCTGTATTTTAATGAAGGTTCACTGAAGAGTATCTCTTCCAGACCAATGAGTCCAACCATTACCAGGGATTCCAAGCGAGGCAATGAAACCTAACGAAGCGCCACAATGAAAACTCATTAAAAGGTGAGTTTGCCACAAGTAAAGCTACTTTCAGGAAACTGCTTTCAGACTTTTCATGTGTTTGGATACGAGAAAATGACTGAAACTCTCGGGCTAAAATACAAAAAAAAAAAAAAAGAATTTCTCTTCCGTGATAAGCAAAATCATTTTCATGAGTATATCCTCACCCCTATCATGCTGCTAACGCCTCACATCTGCACAAGTCTCTCTCTCTCTCTCAAGTGTCATCATAATTGTTATATTTTCTTTAGCTGATCTTCAAAACTATGACCATAATTTTTTTCTCTTTTCTTTTGAAATCATTTACTGATCTTCAAAACAACTACCATAATTTTGTTACTTTTTTTTTTCCTATTTTGACCTTCAAAATTGAAAACAAATTCATATCGAAGTTAAATTTTTCATAATTTTTTTTGTTAACTTATTGGTTTTCATTATGAACAAGTAAATATGACTTATTCGGGCTTGTTTCTATTAAGGATGCATGACAGTGCTTGTCTATGCTTTGTAAATTTTTGCGCTTCATTAATAAACATCATAAAACACTTTTTCGAATTGCGTTTTCAGCAGAACCAAATACAAGAAAACCATTCATTTCCTAGAAAAAACAATTTACCTGGAAAACATTTTCAGCAACAATGAATTTGAAACAAACGGACCTTAAATACATGAATAAGCTGAATGTCTCTTAAGAATGTCAGAAACTTAATTGAGACAAAGGGATGATGAAAGGGATGACAGAAGCAGAAAGACGTTGACACGGTGAGGTTGGCATGACGTATTAGAATCAATTGCAACATGCATGTAGGTAAAGCATGAATTATGCGGACTTTCTTTGTTACATGGCTCTTGGTTCACCTTCCATTTATTTAATCTATCACTTTCTTCATTTTGAAATTGTTGAATTTCGTTCATTGTTCAAGATTCATTCTTGTTTCGTACAATGTTTTTTCTTGCCATTAAAAATATTAAATGAATAATAAATGAGTCATGGTACAAACCCATGTTAGAGCGCAATTTGGGGGTGAGCGTTCCAGGTTCCGTACTTGAAACCTGTCCGTCGAAACAAGTTCCCTAATTTTTGGAACCTGAAACCAACCATGCATACCTAGTAACCTAGAACCTACCCTGTCACAAGTTCCATGTTGCACTTGGACTCTTAATTGAACAATTGCAGTAAATCATTACCTTAATCTGATCACAACTCATATTTAGACACACGAAAAATATGAAACATTAATAAAGTAAAAGTCTTAGTCATGGATATCGCCGGAAATGGAAGCTCATAGTAGTGGTTTCAGATTATATACTTATCATTGAACGCCATGGAATCTCGCAGGAATGCGTGAAAACATAGAATAATAAAAATACAAAGACTTGTTCCAGGTTCTAAGTTTCACTTGGAACCTATCCATCAAAACAGATTCACAATTTTTGGAATCTGGAACCGACCAAGCATACCCGAGAACCTAAGAACCGGGCCGGCCGATCCAGTTCTCAGGTTCTCGGTTCTATCCTGGATTCATGCTCACCCCTAGCCCAATTATCTAACATTGAAATAAATTGAACCAAAAACAGTCGAAGAAAGAGGCTTCCCCCTAGCTATAGTTGAATGTGAATAAAAATATATGGCCTGTGTTCTCTTTGAATGGATTTTTTATTTGTGAATCAAAATGTACAAATAATCAAATTTAAAGCAATATGCACTAAGGTTCAGTGAACACCGATATCATCTTATCCTAAATCCCCCTGTAATAGTATGATTTAGGTATCGTTTGCAAGATTAAGAATTAAGGAAACTTATACCCGGAAAACCAAAAAGTTACCTGAATTGGAGCACCCTCTGCTCCGGTGCAAAAGCTCATCATATTTGGTAACTTATGCAAATCCAGACGACGTACATTAGGCAACTCAACTATGTCATCAGCAACAACTTCTACTTTTCCTGCATCATCTGTGATAATGGCTTGCAATGAGTCACATTCACGTATTTGAATCTCTTCCAAATGTACAAGTCTTTGCATCTCTGACAGGAACCACAGATTTTTCAATCGGTGGCACTTTTCGATGCGCACGGCTTTCAATTTGCTGAAGCAATCTGGTGCGACAGGGCCATTGCATATTTTCTCCAGATTAAAAAGATTTTCGAGGAATAAAGACTCTAAAATCGTAAATGCAGTGAGAGGGTCATTGGATGAACTGGCAATGTACTTGATTGAGGGGCTGTTTTGAATGTCGAGATGCTTCAGTTGCTTAAATCCTTGGATGCAGAACTCGTGAGTGTTCTTCTTGAACCCTCCCAATCCGTCCAAATGCAAGTATTGAGTCTTCTGCAAAGTTTTCTGAACCCATTCCTTTGAGAGAATACTATCGCATCCTTCCAATTTGAGCTTCATGGTTCTCAAACCTTGAAATTTCCTCCCGTCAACATTTCCTATTGTGATCCAAAATCTGATCAGGTTCCCAAATGGCAGGTCACCGTCCTTAAAGAGTATGGCAGGATCACGGATCGATATTTCCAAAGTGGTTAGCTTTGTCAAGCTCTTCAACTCAGCAAGCCTAGCATTACACGATTCTGACGGTATTTCATCCTCACCCAACCATTGATCAAAGCTTCCCTTCATATGTAACTCTTCCAAGTTGATTAAGCTTTTTAGGACACCAGAATCTATCTTAGGCACTTCGCAATAGTTTAGATTCAACAATCTTAGATTTGTAAGTTCCCCAATTTCTTTAGGTAGCCTACAAATTTCAGACCCTGCAAAGCTGAGAATCTGCAATGCTTTGAGCTTGCCAAGAATTGCCACATCATTCACAAGGCAATGATCTAAATATAACGACTGGAGGTTCCCGAGGATTTCGATCGAGGGAGATAAATTGGTGATATGCATTGAGAAAAGATATAGGACTCGGAGCTCCTTCATGTATGTGAAATCTAGTTTACAACAATCTCCCTCATAATGTTGGTGCACAGGACCAAGCCAATTTCCTGGTTGAGACAACATGAGTATCTTCAAGTCGGGAAACCCATACTGCTTTAGTCTAGCAAGCCCGACAACGTTAACAAGGCATATTGCCCAACATTTCTCAAGCTTTTCCTTTGGCCACGAGCCATAATTGCTGTTCATCATTAAGGAATTCTGACCTTTAAATGGAGTTGAGACAACCACCTCGCTGTAAAGATCATGGATGGTCACATTTTCCTTGTCATCGCCACCATCCTGCAACAAACAACTGGAACAGAGGCTATCGAGCATAGTGTTCAATCTATCCCTTGAATCTTCTATCGTGTTATTGAATCCCTCAAACAAGCCCAATCCCATGCCTAGTCCCAGCAGAAGTTCGACTTCAATGGTCCCTCCAATAAGACCACAGAGCAAGAATAAGGACTTTGCGTTCTCACTCTTCAAATGGTCGTAACTCAACTTCACTATGGTTTCTATATTTGAATCATCTATTTTTATCAACGCGTTTTTCCATGTGGACACACCGCTATATTTCAAAGTGCTTGCGACAGAAGTAATCAAAAGAGGCAAACCTGCGAGCTTCTCGACCACTTGAGCTGCTATTGGTTTCAATTCCTCATCTTTGAGCCTGTCGCCGACTGTCTTTTCAAATAGCCTGAAAGCTTCGTCGTTGTTTAAACCTTCAAGATGAAATATTCGATCAGCATGCATCTTTTGCTCCAGCACATCTTTAAATCTCGATGTTAGCAACAACTTACATCCCCTGCTCTCTTCTCCCGAAGGAATTCCAACTACCTTCAAATCAAGTTTATCCCACAGATCATCCAATATTATGAGAACCTTCTTCATCGGATCACTCTGTATTTTCCGAAACAAACGGTCTCTTCTTCCCTCTTCGCTCGGCTCGTCCTTCAGATTTAGACTGAAGGCATAAGCGATATCGTCTTGGATTTTCTTTGGGTCTTGAGTCTGCGATACTTTCGCTTTGGCGATCATGTCGAACAATCTCTTCTTGCTCCTGAGTTTCTTCTCGACTTCCACTAACAGGGTAGTCTTCCCCACGCCACCAGGCCCGTAGACCCCAATCACTTTGAACTTCTCATCATCCAGCGCATCCATTATTTTTTCTAGGATGGAAGCTCGCGACTCGATGATAGTGTCGCCCCGGTCACCGGCTGATGTGCTCACATCGGAAGCACTGGCGACGTGCCCTGGTGGAGCACTCTCATGGTAGACCTTATGGAATTGACTCTTTGAGATGAGGGCCTGGATGTCCAGGACTGTCCTCCTTGTGTCCCTGCCGAGACGATAACGCTCCTTGGGGTTCGGAAGCCACCCGTAGAAGCAAGTTTTCTTGGCTCGTCCATCGCGTTCCAGCAAGTTGCGCGCCTTGTCAGTGACGGTCTCCATGTCTGTCACCCATTTCTCAACGTCAGCTTCGATCGGCTTCATGTCATTTCGAGCTTCATCGATGGAATGTTGCACCCTTTGCCTTGCATTTTCCAGCTTCTCAAGTTCTTCCTCAAGTTGGCGAACGTTGCTGTTGGGGAATATCACGTAGTCGCAGTGACGAACGACCGGAGCCACTACGTACTCTGCCACTTTGGAAGCTACAGACAGAACAATATCCGCCATTTTCCCCCCGTTTTGACTCTATCTTTCTGATTTTCTTTTCTTCTTCTTTGTAGAGAAACGAGAGCTAAGAATTTCTATATTCCGAGGAAGGCCGATCTGATAGAACCCAGAAACGAAATGATTGAAGAAGAGGAAAGATTCGATATGATGAACAAACAACAGTTCCAACTAAAAAAATCAGCCACCAAAGATCAGGTGAAAGAGAGGGATTCTAGCAGTAGACCCGAATCGAAATCTAGAGCGAAAGCGAGGATTGACGTTACAACGCGGTGGCACAACGCTTTAATATATGTAGCGTTTCTATATTACACACAAAAACTCTCCCACGTGTAGTGACATTATTCTTATTTTCCCAAAGATGCCCCTCTCCTCCTCTAAGGCGCACAGGCTGTACAGGGTATCATCTAATCATCTTGCACGTCCACAAAATCTCCTAAAGAACGTTCTTAGGACTAAAATTAACTTCAGGATCCGCCAGCTTTAAAATGCGAGAACTGTCCAGCTGTCTTTCACTATCATCCTCCATCAACTTTCGAAATATGCTTTGCTCCAGCAATGAACAGCGGCGAGACACCAATCTCCACTTAGGACTGAGCTATAGTCCGGATTCCGATTCAGATAATGCACTCCAATCTCAGTCACTTAACGAGCTCTTTAAGTATCAGCTTTAATAGAGTTGCACGATAATAGAGTCCACTAAGTACAATAATGCTTTCTCCTATTGTACCATGTGGAGACACATATTTTGACCAAAATGCTTTTCTCGTCCTTTCTTCTTCCATAAAAGCTCGTATCATTTTCATGTAAAAGCATCTTGCGGTGCTTCCGTGATTGTATTGTTATATCACGTAGAAAGCCTAATGCCCCTAGTTACATAAGACTAACTTCAGAAAAATGCCATCACAATTGCTGTGATTTTTGTATGGCACTCACTTAAGTGCTATAATTTTTTTTCGATCACTTAAATATCTTAACTTCTAAAAGAACGTTCACTTTAGTGTCATTACTTTTTCAAAAACGCTCACCGCCATAAGTGCTACAAATTCAACATGTCATGGCACTTGTGGTGAACATTTTTTTAAATGATCGATTGAAAGTTACGATACTCTAGTAAATGATTATTAGAAGTCAAAGTACTCAAGTGATCAAAAAAAAAAAAATGACACTCAATCAACCGCCATACGAAAGTTATGTCATTCGTGATATCCTTATCCTAGCTAACTTCTATCAGAAGTTGCGTAAGAGTTGGAAAGTGTTTGAATCAAGATACACTCTTCAATGGCCAACCACACTCTTCAAGTTGTGATGTAACAAATGCGAAAAACAAACACAGAATACAAGGATTTACGTGGTTCGATCACAAGGTGATCTACGTCCACAGGTGAAGCACAACAAGATTCCACTATATTCAAAAAAGGAGTACAGTTTTCAGAAGTTGAAAAACAACTTCACAAAACCTCACGACTCACCCATCTCTCCCAAAACGAAAATCTATATATATCAATGAAAACCCTAGCCGCAGTATAAATAGGACCCCAAAAATTTTCTCGGGGGCCTAGCCCCCGAACCCCCCATGACAATTATTCGCTTGCTCCAGCTTAGGCAAACCGTCATAAAAGATTTGCTCACTTGCTTCAAGTTGGGCCTATCGGCCCAACCCTCTACGTCACGAAATAAATCTCAATTTTTTCTTCTCTTTTGGGTCCCGCAAAAATATGTCAAGTTAGGTAATAAACCGAACCGAATACATAAAATTCAAGACATATTTAACAAGTTGCATAAGAGTTGAGGCTAGCATATAACTAGTTAAAGATAATATCAGCAAGAGTCATCTTACCACTGCCACCGATACCGTATATTACAAGAAGATGTAGTCCTTCAGATTCGGCATCCAATAGTTTGCACTGTGCCTTCTTCTTGATCATTCAATACGACCGCATGCTCGGTAATGAACCTATGTTTGACGCCCAGCTTAACGCTAAGTCTCGAACGATCAATTTGATGAGTTCCCCGTGTTTGTCGAGAAGAATTGCCAAAACAAGTCAAATGAAGAACTAAAAAATAACAGTTTAATACAACTTTCAAGAAAATATAGTATTTGAACTTGACTTGAACTGTGGAAAGTCAAAGTGCAATAATATCGCCTGTACACACGCAGTGCAATTTTCCACAATGCTTCGAGTATTGCGGTCGGTTATGTTAAGCTCTACCCATCCTTCTGGGAATCTGATTCTCTTCTTTGTCTGAAAATTTTCTTTATATAAGTATTTTCCGTTATTGAACACAAATCTCTCATAACTCCTATGTAAATTGTCAGACCATACGAACGACTATTATTGAAAATTTTTAATTGTTTGTGTGGTATAACACTTGTGCAGAAATTACGACACTGGGCTCGGCAGGGTACGACGGGGGATCGACTCCTTGGGTGACCTTGGAAATCTGTATAGAAATGCGTAATAAGTTGTTTGGCTATTGACTTATTATCGTATCTAGAGTTGTCTATAATATGTGATTGTTGCTTTGCAAAACAGGGTGACATCTACTCAACTAAATGCTAGTAAATTTCTGGAAAATATGGAACGCAGGTAACGACACATTGTAAAGAGGCCGTATTGCAGTAAGTTTAAACCTTGTGGCTTAACACTTAATAGATATTAACACTAGAAAAGTTTAAAAGCTTTTACACGCGCACCACCTCTTTGGGGGCCACTTTCCACTACTTCGCTTCATCAGAACCAAACTATATCTCATTCTTCGTCAGGTCATTTCTATAGAGCTCGGTTTGAAGCTTAATATCATCAGGCTCTACGTAGTAGATAATGGCAGAATATCTTTCTTCCCACCTGATTTTGACATTTGTTCTATGCGTAGAAAATTAAAAAAGGATTTCAAGAATTGTCTATGTCAGCGCAGGCCTAGCCATGCCATGTAAGACGGCTGACATCTACGTAAGTGATTTCTAATTAAAATTGGCCGGAAGGACTAGATTGGCAAATCATCAAAATATTTATGACTAAATTGGCATAATTAAAAGGTTTACGACTGAATTGGCCGCTACACAATAGGTTTAGGACTTTTTGGACAATTATAACCATATTAAAAATAATAACAACAACAACAAAAGATCAGTTACCTAATTTTCTTACCATCAACCACTAATTTTGATTCAAGGACAAGCAAGTTACGAGGAAAAATTACCAAAAAAATCATAAACATGTTGCACTTGTGCCAATTCAATCATAAACTTTTTAATTGTGCCGGTTTAGTTATAAACATTTTCACTTTCTTCCAATTGAGTTTATTCAGCCAATTTTGGCCGAAAGTTGATGACGTGGTTGCCGGCGGTCCTATGTGGACATTTTTAAATAATTTTTTTGTTTTTTTTTGTTTTTCCTTTTCTTTTCTTTTTTTGGCCTGAGGTCTGGCAAAGGTTGTCGGCCACAGGCAAGGGTTGGATGCCCTCATGGCCATTGCCCAAGCCAAAGCGAGGGCACGCAGCCTCACCGAAATCTAGCAAGGACCGCAATGCTCTCGCCAAATCTAGGCCAGGTGAGGGCGTCGTGGCCCTTGCCCAGAGTTGGCAAGGTTCGCGACACCCTCGCTCAATGCTGGTGAGGGCATCCCGACCCTTAGGCCGAAAAGAAAAGAAAAGGAAAAAGAAACAAGAAAAGAAAAAACCAAAAAAATTATTAAAAATATAAAAAAATTATTAAAAAATATTTACATTAGTGCCAGTTGTCGCCAGCCGTGCCACGTAAGACTGCCGATGACCATGTCCTCAATTTCCAGTCAAAATTGGCTGGATGGACTCAATTGGAAAAATGTGAAAATGTTTAGGACAAAATTGATAAAATTGAAAGGTTTAGGGCTAAATGAGCACAACTGCAATAGGTTTATAATTTTTTTGATAATTTTCCCCATGCTACGAAATATTAATATCAAGAACACATAGATAAGTCAGTAGATGAATCTCTTCCATTGAGCTATATACACAATTGCACATTAACGATATGGAACTTGTGCATTTGATGCTTTTTATTCATACTATGAATACAATTCAGACTTGCTTGGTTAGAAAATGTCCAAATTACGATCAATCATCAAACTAATGAGATACCTTATGAGGAATCAATTTTCATAAGTTGTATCTTCCAGGTTGTAGCTCTAAGAGACATCCAATCCGTCTCTATCCTTGGTTGATCTCGACACATGGGGCAACATTTCCTAAGATCTGCAACCTTTGGTCTCCAAGTACTTCAAAGACTCGAAGTTATTGAGGCCTTCCATGGCTCTTAGCTTAGGACAACCTTCAGTTCAACACACCTTAGCTTCTTCAACTTGCATAGGTTAGGTCATCTTTCAATTGAATCACATGCAACGAAGATCCCCCCCCCAAAACCTTGAACATCAACAACTCTTTCTAAATGAGACAACTCTAAGGACTGTACATTCCTCAAGCACAATAGATAAAGTGTCCTCACGAGGCATTCGCACCTAGTACTTCGCAATTCCCTCAACTTCACCAAGCCTTCCAAGACAAGAAAGTGTTGCATCAGGTCAGGCAACAATTATATCATAGTATAATCCATCCTATTGACTCTTAATTTCCTCACATTTTCGTTCAAATTGGCTAAGTTGACTACTAGCGACCATGATAAATCCAACTCGAGCAACGATTATATTCTCCTATCAAGCATGGTGTAGGAAGCATGTGGCAGAAGCCCTATACTTTTGCCTGGGAGGATCACCAAGACGGAGCCTAAGTCCGAGTCCGTCAACATATTTAGTTGAATCCATCTTCACTCAAAAGCCTAAGTCAATGAGTTATCGGTCAACTAAGATATCTTAACTACTCTATACCACACCAATTCTCCGATGTGAGGTTTTGAGTGAAGGTGGGTCCCACCTTTGGAATTGTCGATGTTATCACTAGGATGAGGTAGGGCACTACAGGAGAGATTGTCCAAAGTACAAGAGTAAAGGAGTTAAGGTGGAGTTTGCAAGCAATGGTAA